CGGGAGATATGAGTCATGGCTCGATTAAGCATGGCTCAAGCACAATATGTCCTAGTGCAAGCTGTGCTTGTGCCAGCATGGCTAGGTGGCTAATGTTGTGCTTGGGACACCACCTTGGCTCCTCGGCATATATGGGCTCAACCCATTTAAGGGGTTTGCTCGTTAAGGGCCTATGTAACCTCAAGCAATGTTGACCATCCATTATCTTCAAAATGCCAGAGATCAACCCTTCTATGAACAAAACTTCCAAGCAAGGCCCCAAAACCCTAGTCCATTACACCTCCAAACCCAGCCGCTCACCCACACTTCTTTCTTATGGCCTCCGTTCCCCTCCCCTAATCTCCTCCACCTCCATGCACCCCACCCCTCTCTTCCATGACTGAGTGTCCAATGCCTTGATTCCCTCCTGGCTATCCTTGCCTCCAACCCTCCATTTTATGCGCAATGCCTCTACTTCTAACAATGAGCACATGGTGGCCTCTCCTCCCTGATCTCCTCCATGATGGGTCACCAATGGTTGGTGCGTTGCTCCCATCCCCTCTCCTATCCTATCCTCGGTGAAGGGCAACCTAGTCCCCTCATCGGGGATGCGGAGGTGCAAAGCTAAAGCAGTGCATATACTAGCATGGTACAGGCATGGTGTGGATGGCGTGTGGGCGACAACGTCTTCGATGATGATATGTAAGTGATGACACCTGCACTAGCTTTGGCTAGGACAGGCGTGCCATGGTCACCATACCATCACGCAACAGGGTTAACCGGTTAAGGCATCCCCATGGCGTGCTTGGTATGCTTTCTCACCACAACGTGATTCACAACATAACAAAATTAGATAATTGTGCCTTTCCATGCCTTGCCAAATCATACCATGTCGAGTAGGCACAACTAGTTCTTGTGAATTGCTATTTATATATTGTGACTACTAATGGATAACTAGAATGCAGGTATTTACTGAATTACTATACTACACTCCCTCCGTCCTAGATTCTTTAGTGCCTAAGCTCTAGAAAAGCTTCCAAACTTTTGAGAAGTCACCAGGGGGATGATAGTCCCCACCTGAACAATATTCCACTGATTCTAGCAAAGCTGGTAATAGAGGGTGCATAGAACCTTACATGAGTGACCCTTGAAGGTCCAAGAAATACATGTCATGGTGGGAGAGAACAGAGTTCCAACAACATCAACAATAGCAAAACAACAACAGGTGCAATTAACCTACTTCTCAAAACAGGTGCAAACACTAAGTTCCTGACTGGTGGCACTGAGTCAGAATCAACAGATGACAGCTAAGAGTTGTATCGCCTATAAGAAGCATCCAAGATCCAACCGACACCCACCTACGCCCTTCGAGGGGAGGAAGTCTCAAAGGAGGGAGGACCATCGATAGGAGAATGATGAGATCCGAGAGAGGGGATCATGGTCCCGCAACCTAGCATAAGATGAGGCGGAGCACTCTAGTGACCTAGAGGAAGACAGAGCAAGCATTAAGGACAACACAAGCTAGTAGCCAGTGTGCGCAAAAGTGAGTAGGAGGGTAATTGAACCATAGTGGGAGAAGTGGAAGAGTAGAACGGGAGAGGTGGAAGATTAGTCAGGAAGAGCTCAAGTTGGCGTCGAGACATGGATGGCCATAGGATGCAGTTTATGACGCCTTCAACAAGAGAGTGACGTCCATAGACGCCATCGCTATAGGCCAAAGCAGGGAGGGCTTTCACCCCGAGACATGGTCTGTCAGACAAAAGCAGTAGCAAAAACTTCAATGATGCCTCCAAGGAGTGGAATGACACTGGGTGCGCCATTGTCACTAGATCAAAATAAAACTAGATAAGGCTTTCGCCCAGATTCCAAAAATCATTGAAGCAAGCCCTCACCGTGGAGTCATGGGCCTGCTGCGCTAGGAGCACAACTCCTGCGCTGATGGGGAAATTCGCTAGCTTGACTTCGTAGTTGACGACATGGAGCATGTGAAAGTGCGTCTGGCTGGCTAGCACCTATGCACTACATGGGTGATGGGGGTGTGCATCATCCACCTGCACACCGCCTCGCTGCCGATATCGAGGACAACTTGGGGAAGACACGTAGGCCATCGGATCTGGCTATGGCAGCCACCTAGACGTTGCCCTGAGCCTTGCCGCATTCACTCACCTGTTGACTATCGTGCTTGAACGCCTACCATGGACAGGGCCCACCAGTGATGCACCGGGTGCTGCAGACATGAGAGCTTCCTCCAGGTGGGCAAGCATGGTGCTGGTCTAACGCGGCCTACGCACGACGGACGTCCATGGCATGATAGCAAGGCCACCACTATGCCCGCCGGTCACGTCGGCGTTGATTTGGGGCAAGGCCACCGAATCTAGCTGTGGCAGCTGTTGGCGCCTAGGGCCTCCCAAGCCGTCCACCATGTTGCGACCTTGCGTGGCTGGACTGCATGTGCGTGAGGGAGCGTACAACTATGTGGAGGCCCTATGCGGTAGCATCCGCCGGAGAAGGAGCAGCTCACCCGCCAGAGCTGGAGACACCGCAAGAGGGCGAGGCCGTCAGATATGGGGAGGGGGTCGCGGATCTAGACCTAGAGCACATGGATCCGGCACCTCACCGCGATCCTACTTGTCGGTGGCCACCTCCTCGCCGAAGTTTCAGAGCTCGATATGAGGGAAAAGGGGGTAGGAGAGGAGGAGGAGGTGATGGGAGTTGCTGCTAGGGTGAGCCTTGTTGGGCGCCACCGCGGGACGCTGCCACCAATAGTCAGAGAGCGGCAGCAGTGGCCGAGGAGCAGACATAGTGGGTGGTCCGGAGGCTGGGGTTGTGTCATCCCCCGAGTTGCCTGTACGGACGATGCGGGGGCGGGGGACGGGCAAAAGCTTCTAGAATTTGATAAGTATATATTAGATGATGGGTCTCATTTTCCTTAAGCCCAACATGCACATCCGCTCAGTTCGTGCATGAAAATTTATTATGTTGATGATTGATTCTAATCTTATATAGTGCTAGCTCTCCATCCCATCGGTTTCCATACAATGCACACCCACATCCTTCATACCAAACGAGCTCTTGGTAGTATCCTATTGTTCCCACTTTCACTCTTGAATGTGGAGGATAGCATTGAGGCCATGTGGGAAGTGCCACTCTTAGCCATGGAGCAAGTGCTACTCTCGATTGCTCTTACCTCTCTCAGCTGCGCACTTCCTCGATGTTGGCGATCTAGGCCCTCATCGATAATGTACGTCTAGAGGTTTGTTCTTCAAGTACCATTGTTGGCTTCTCCGAGTTGTTAAACCATTGGTGCCAGCCCAGGTTGGTGTGATCTAGGTGGGAACAAGGTGCCGCTCTAGTGCCAGATGTAGTGGTCTATGCACATCCATGATCCACATGTGATCTAGGAGACAACACGGTAGTGGGTCTTCCACATCATAATGACTGGTTTTTGTGCTTATCTCACCATGCTGCCATTACACCAGTTCATTGACACCATCAGTTGTTCATAGACTAGCCATTGGCATTGGCATTGGCATCATGTCTAGCAATCACACTTGGAGCCCTGCCATGGTATGGGATGCATGCTGGCGATTTTGGTGGAAGCTATGGCATGCATTGTGGCTTTAGAGGAGTTGACGACATCTAAACTGGTTAGGTGGCCTTGGTGGCACTCCTCAGGTCCTGAGTTCGACTCCCCGTGGGAGCGAATTTTAGGCTAGGGTTAAAAAATCCCCTCATCTGTCCCACGGCCAAAGCATAGGTCAAAGGCCTGGCCCAGTTCTCACAGGGCAACGGTGCCCTTGTGTCAGGGTGGGACAGGGGTTCAGAGGTTTTCTCGGCCTATGTGAGAAGATCTTCTCTCTTACATCAATGCCCAGGTGGTGGCTTACCCCCCGCGGGTCGAGTTTTTTTATGCTCGCTTTACAAAGTGGCAAAAATTGGCATAACTTTCATTAGTAGTAAGCAAACCATTAGGTTATTTGACATTAGCTATCATTGCTTCTTGGCATTACCTAGATAAGGTGTGAGTTTGGTTAAAATGGCAGCTTTGTTTTGGTGATCCTAAAAGCCTCAAGGAGCCATTAGAAAGGTTCTTCTCTTGAGCCAATTCTTTTCTCAAGGATCCATTGGAGTCAATATTATTAAACAACTTGCATATAAGAAGACGATTATATTCAAGATTATGTTCTTTTTTCTCGATGAGTTGTTGATTTTTATTATGTAAAATTTAATGATTTTTAATATTTTTATGGTTTGTACATGATAAGCCAAAAAGACAAGGTTAGTGGCGGTGGGTCCCATGGACAAAAATACAAGAGGAAGGCTGGCTCAACAAGGGACCACACCTGGACCAAAAAAGAAATGGAAAATGAATGGCGAGAACTAACGTCAGAATTGTGTTGGCGCACTCTTGCCCATCAGCTACTTTTGAAAGGAATCCTTCTAAGACATCAGGCCTTTTGGAACATACGTGCCTCTAGCTAAAACGGTTCGGCTAGGGCTTATGACAACAAAACTAATGAAGTAGTATGCTATAAAAAGACATAATAATGGGTTCAAATTCATAGCCTTCACCCTTATTATGTAAGCAACAATAAGTACCATTTTTGAACAAAAGATTTCATACAATGATATATGTGATGGATACAACACATTACATGATGCAAGGATTGGACCTATGAAGCAAACGTCAAGATTTCATCCCTTGATATACAATACATGTAGAACTCCCTAAATAGGATAGACTTAGACTAGTGGACTAAATAATATTTGATTCCCTTATATCAATAAACTAGACAACTCAAACACATATTGATTAAATAAACCACAAGAACAACTAAAATTGTGGTATCAACTATCATCAAGGCAGCCCATATCAACAAGATTATTTCCAGGACCATCATCACTATGTTGTTCTAGTTCCTTCTGAAGAAGAATCTATGGAGTTATTGTAGGGACAATTATAAGCTTGTTGAAGCAGTACAAAAGAACTTGGCATGTCGTAACCATTAGAAGCTTGCTCTCTAGTATCTCCATGGTCTCCCAAGCAAAGATTCAGTCCATACAAGCATCAAAATATGGCCCATCAGATTGAATAGGTGAAGGCCATTGATGAATGGGAAATGGGTGAGTGGCAGTGAAGTCTCCGATGCTTGCATGGTTTTCAGGCTGTGCTGCTGGGTGAAGCTCGGGTTCTGGAGGCAACAATGATGGAGGAGGAAGTTCATTATAGAACGTAATCTGCGCTAATGATGAAGGTGGTGGTTGTAGCATAGATATCAGAGAGGATTGTGAGGATGGTTGTAAGATGTTACTATTGATGTGCACCCCTGTGTATTATTATAGTTGTGCTGATGGGCTTCATTAGACGATGACAACATTTGTGCTTGTGGTTTGACCATTAAAGGGTGTGGTGGCATTAGATCATGTTGTAACAGTGATGTCGATGGTGCTTGTGCCGTTGGCAGTATGGTTTGATTAAGAAGAGTAGCTTGTGACCATGATGACTGTGGAAGGGACAATGAAGATTTTGCAACATGCAAGGATGGTTGTATATGTGTCCATGGTAGACGTCTAGGTGGCAGCGGGTTCTTTGAATGTGATGGCAAAGAGGACAACAACCGGAGCAAAGGGTCTGTTGACCCACCAACCTCTAGCTGGTTGCTAGGTTGCTGTGGAGGAAGTCGATCGTTAATCTCTCGCTGGACCCGTGAGAGGTCAAGCAGAAGCTCACTGAGCTCCTCAACATTGAGATCCTCTACCTTACTATAAACAAGCTTAGCCTTCCTTGAGGTCACACAAAGCTCTTTGACTCGTGCAGTGTTCTCCTTTGTCCTCTTGTCCTCCATGGCTTTCTCTTTCTCCACCATGAATAGCTCATTCTGCAAAAGGGTGATTTTGTCTTTTTATCAGGTTGACGAATGGATCTACTTGTGCATCCCCTGAAAGGAAAGAATTGGCGATAGCACTAGCCGATGGAGTGCCGAAAGAGGACATCTTTCCATTCTCAGATTGTAGCATGATAGCAATTCTTGCGCTAGTGAGGGTGGACAAGTCAGCGGCAGCTTTGTAAAGCCCAGCACGCCGCTTGAAGAATGTGGCTCTACGACTATTATTATTCCTAATGTAGCTAATTCCAGCTCTCTCCTAGGTGTCCTAGTCATTCTCTTGTGGAGAATTCAAACCAGCTACTACCAGTATGTGACTAAGAAATGGTTGAATTTTGTTGAGAGGCAATGTGTTTGGTTGTGAAGGATTGGAGCCTACGAAGAATCCTATATATAGAAGAAAAGGAGCTGTCAACCAATCAATTTCCTCGAAACTCAGACACATAAAAAATGCATTTCATAAGAAACCATCAACTCATGTTACTTGTGAATGGTTAATACTGAGTACTATGTGTGTCATGGACGGTGATGCCCTTTTTTTTGCATGGTCATGGTGGGGTCCATTTGTTAATAAACGCTGGGAAAGTATAAAATGAAGTTTTAGGAAGGGACCGTTGCTTTATCATTAATTAAATATAATTTGCTTTGAAATTGAAAGGCATATATTTATTCAGCCACAAAATATCAAACTATACTTTAGGCAAGAATTAATTAGAAACGCCTTAAGTAACCGCTTGATGTTATATTGCCAATATAAGTATGTTCAATATAAGTCGAACCTTTAATGCTAATCAAGCGCTGCTATATATAATGTATATGCCTTCTACTACCACTATAGGACGACCAGATCTGGTTTTTCAGTTGCTGACTGAAATGTGTTCCTCATTGCTATGTTTGTGTATTTATATTTCTGTTGTTATGATCAAAACGTGATCCAACAAGTTCTTGATTTTTTTGGGAATCAACAAGTTCTTCATTGAAAGTATTATTATATACTAAAATTATCACCAAGAGGACACATAGGCTTCGCTATCATGCTATCTAATTAAGAGTATCCTAATCCGAGGGAGTATTGAGTGAGCTATGTGATCCGGCAAAATAATCGTGAGTACAGATATATAGATTTTGATATATATGTTATGACGGAAATATCCTTGGAGCATCGCTTACATACAGTCCTCTACATACTGTACTTTGCAACATCTCAAATATTCTTCTAGAAAATATTTTCAAATGTATAAACAAAATCCCAATTCGACTACCATTTCAACAAGGTTATCTAAAAAAACTGAAGTTTCCAATAAAAAGGGGAAATGGTGGTTGTAAAACTCGGCCAGTGATAGGTCGTTCTGGAATTCTTGGAGTTGAATTAAGTAGTGATGGTAAAATATAACATGGTATTTACCATGGGTGATATGTTTGGGAGGAAGGTGTCAACAGGCATGCGGAGGGATCTGATACTTCCATGTCACGTGTGTCAAAGCTGATATGACATAGTGGCGGCCCATGGCAAAGTAAGCAAACTCCATAGCTGGGGCGAGATAGGAGCATAGACACAAACAAAAGCAGCACAACACAGGAAAAAACATCTAGAGACAAGCTAGGTACATGAGGTGGAATAACCAAGCCACCCATGATGAAAACATGTCATTGATCGCTGAACATATTGCACACCACCAAGTGACAGCTCTCCAAAGAACTCCACTTTCCACACGACTGGAAGGCACAAAGTCGAGGTCGATAGACGACAGTTACGATGTACATCATCTATGGTGCACATCCGGGCTCTAGTCATCGTCCAACAACACCCCTTAAGGGAAGGAAATCTTCAGGGTGGGAGGATCAACAAATGAAGAGAGAGGAGATCGAAGAGAGGCACCATTGTCTTTAACCCGACATAAGTTGAGACGATGCAATGAAGGATCCTAGAGGACGTTGGAGCGATGCACTCAAAAAGCAACTTGTGCACCCATGTAGGGAAAGCTAGTAGTGGACCTTGGCGAAAGTGCTTGGCCAAATCTGAGGCACACCTCCACGGTGACGCTTTACAAGTAGGGACAGAGATGCACGATGTCGCCATCACCCGAAAAGCAACTTGTGCACCCATGTAGGGAAAGCTAGTAGTGGACCTTGGCGAAAGTGCTTGGCCAAATCTGAGGCACACCTCCACGGTGACGCCTACAAGTAGGACACGATGCCGATGTCGCCGTCATCACCGGTCCGAAAGCACCAAAACTAGGTTTTTCACCTAGTGGTATCATGAGTTGTAGGGCTAGAGAAGGATACTACGACGCCTCCTAGGAGGTTGTTATGGTGCCCGAAGGCATTGTAGTCGACAGCACCGATAGAGTAGTGCATGGCTTTCGCCTAGACTCCCCTAGATCCTGAGCTATAGGACTACCACTCAGAACAAGTTTGACGAAATGAATGCATGGACCACACCTACTGCTTGAGCGCTAGCTAGCTCGCACAAGCAGCTGCAATGCAAAACCAGCCTCATCCATCTTGCCACAAACCTCACACCTTGTAGAATAAGGGAAACGCCCTGCCTTGGAGACAACAACGCAGAGCCAAATGAGCACTGTGGCGCACCACTGCTTGAGTCCTCAATAGCTCATGCAAGGCAGTGAAATGCACTAATCACGCATGGACACCGCAGCTACTAACCATGTTGTCGTAGCGATGAATAGCAGCAAGCCACCGCCATAATCCAGAGCGGCCGTGCCGCCTCACCCTTGAGCTCGGCTCTAGGTGTGGGAGACTACATCTGGCCTTGGAGGCACCGGATCAGGCATCCCCAAGCCTGCTGTGGCCACCAAAGGCATCAGCTAGGTGCTGGTAGGAGAGCGTGGTGGCCTCAGCCCTAGAGCTTGGTTGTAGTGGAGATTGGATCCGGCCTTGGAGGCACTAGATTAGGCAGCCCCGAAGGCCATTGTGGCCGCCGAAGACATTAGCCAGGTACAGGTGGAAGTCAATAGTCGTGTCGTGGGCTCCAGCATTCAATAGACCAGATCTAGCCTAGGTGGCACTGAATTAGGCTGCCCCATAGGCCACCATGGCCACTGAGGATGTCAGCTCAGTGGTGGTATCCTGTCGCAACAAGGTGCGACCAAGTCACCAGAGATGAAGTAAATGCCACAGGAGCTTTAGATCCGGTGGTGAGGATGCCAGATCCAGTTTAGGAGGCCCCAAACCTGTGACCTTGCAGCCAGCGAGGTCGGACACCAGAGCACGAAACAAAAGAGAAATAAGGGAGGGAGGAGTGGTGGGCTAGCATCTTTTTCGCGGCTGTCCTAGGTAGTCGCCGCTGCCACCACACAATAGCTAGTGGTGGTGGTGGCCGAAGAGCTGGGCTCGTTGGAGTTTTTTGGGCATTGTGGGGAGTTGCCCCTCCCGTCGCCTCAAATTTTATGTAGTTCTTCTAGGGATAGAGTAGAAATGTCCAGATTAAGCTGAATCCCATGCAGCATGAGGCATAGATTGATAAAGCATGGCCCAGTGGCTCGGGCCATGCTTGGGTGACACCTCAGCCCATAGTGCTGGCATGGGAATGACCCATTAAGGTGTTGGCTTACTAAGAGCCCATATGACACCAAGCAACACTATCCATCCATTCTCATTTGACGTCTGAGATCAACCCTTTATGAACCAAACATCCCAGCCAACACCCCACAACCCTATCAGTTTTACGTCCTTGCCTAACCATTCTCCCACTTCTATCCTTTGGCCATCCCTCACCTTCCCTGTGTCCTCCACCTATATGCACAAAGGCCGATGCACCACTCCTGTCTCCTCTCCTCCATGACTGGAGGCCAATACCCTGCTTCCCTCCCAACTCTCTTCACCACTAGCCCTACACTCTATGCTACAACAGCATCATTGATGAGGATAGATGAGCACATGGTGTCCTCCCATCCTCCCCTTCTCTCCTCCATGATCGGCTCCTTAGTCCCCTCACCTCAACTCACCTCCATAGCTATCTTTGGGGATGCCAACAAGGGAGTTAATACAGAGGGTGCAAACACCAACATGGTGTGGGCATAACATGGATGGTGTGCTCGTTGCACACTACTATTGTTCCATCAGGTGGGTGCATTTGTAGCGTGTCACCAACACTAATGATTATCTAGCACGCCATAGCCTATCAGACCATTTGGCACATGCTATTTTTGCATAATTTGTCATTGTGACTCTATTTCTTCACCATTCTTCACACCACCTATTCTATTGCATCCATAGGACCTAGTATAACTTGTATGTCTCACACACCTTAACACACATATTAGTCCTAGTACCTTAATAATGCACATGTTTGTCCTAGTGATCATCTCACCAAAGTACTTCCTAAAAACCGCTACCCTATTCATTTGTTTTCCACCATGGATCATGTGTTCTTTGTATATGTAATAAACTTGCTATAATAGTTGAATGCTATGTTGTTTCAAGAGAAGCAAACACTGTAATAATGTTTCCATTATGTAGAATCAGTTCCTCCCATATTGTAACACCCATTCGGTAAACTTCTACAAAATGCTCCATGCTATACAAAATTGACAGATCTTTCCATGTGTGTGAAAAAGTAGTGTGGTATGTGAATGTTTTTTGCCTTGGTGGTAGTGTTTTCCTAAATGCTAATCGGTAAACACTCAGTCACCTACCATTTAGCAACTATTCGAGCTAAACAGTCCATTAAACAGGGGATACGACCAATTAAATGGGATAAATGGCCGATTAAACAAATATAAACTCAACATTTCACTATACCACAACCAACAATTAGTGTAGGACAATGGTCGCTAAAACATAGTATTAACAACCTACAATTGGTCGCTACAAATTTGTAACGGAGTATCGGTCGCTATTTTCCCTTGTAGCGACCGATAATCGGTTTTATATATATTCAGCAGTTTCCTTGGACAACCGGTCGGTAAAAATGCATATTAAGGCCCAACGATTGGTCG